AGCGATTTTATGAAATTTATAATCTTAGGGAGTAGAATAGGGAATGAAAGTTTGCTGTACGAAAATGCATTACTATAACATCTAGCAGTATAAAATTTTATACAAGGGTTTATTTAGTGACACATCAATAATATAAACTTCTATATTTCTTCTTCAATTATCCTTCAAGGAATAAAAAATAACTATAAATGGAGTATTAGTGCTCTTAATAAACCAAAAAAAGAGATGAAAATTTAAAAAAATATATCAAGGGAGTATATTAAGTAAAGCGACAATTGAAAATTTCAAATATTAATTTGAAAAAACTTCATGTTTCAAAACTATTTATTTTAGTAATACAGTTTATATTGGACCATAGGTAGGGGTTCTATCTATAGAGGGTAAATAATCATTTCACTATTGATTATTTTGGAGAGATTTTATTTTTTCAGATTTTGCAAAATTTCTTTGAAATTGACTTTGGTTCGATTTCGAAAATAATCTATATATAAATAAGAAATAAAAAACCGCCCTGGAAGATCGCCATCCACCCTCTATCCAACCATACATAATTAGTTTCAGTCAATGGAAGTAGTTAGAAAAATTGAAAAAAAGTGTTAAAAAAAGCAAGATTTCAAAAACATTTTGTGGCCAAAATTGAACTTCTTTGAAATACTTTGATTTCGATAACTTCTAGAATTATTAAGGTTTTTTATTTCAGACGGCTCTAATCAAAAGTTTTATTTTTGGTATACAAAGTGGGTCATAAAGTCATATACAGGCGATGAAAAAATAAAAAACGGTTTTTAAATTTTCGAATTTTCTTAAGTAGATAATAATATTTAAAGAGAATAAAAATGCTCTTGAAATTGGAATATTGATGGCTTTTTATAAATTTTAAGTAAAAAATATGTAATAAGTCAAAAATAACAATATACAAATTTTTTGTCGAGCGAGTCTTAAATAAATGCAATTATTCTTAGCGGTTGTAGGTATATTTGACCCTCCATTTTTTTTGGAAATTTGGAATTTTTTGAAAAACCTTTTGGATTTTTTTTAGTTTTTAGTTAAAAACCATAATTTCTTGATAATATGGCAACATAGATATGTAGTAGATTAAATTTACAAGACAGAAAAACCCGAAAAGCTGCAGTGGTTCTCAAAATTTAAGCAAAAAATATTTTTTTTGGAAATTTTTAAAGTAAAATAACTTAGTTATTTTGGAGTTATTTAAAAACGGTAAAGAGAAAATATGGTTTTTTATCGAGATCTACCAGCCCTGAAAATATTTGCACTTATTCAAGACTTGCCCTGTATAATATCCAGAAAATCGACAATTGATAACTTTCATATGAAATACGAGTAGCTCTAAAACTCTTAAAAACATAGTTTAAATAGGGCATTTGTAAGGCTCACTAGCTCTATATACAAAGTAAATCATTTAAATCAATGCATGAACTATTCGAGGTGTAATGCGAACGTAGTCGCGGGAAAAACCTAGTTTCTAATAACATCAAAATCAGTCAAAGTCGCAGTTTTCGAGATATTAACATATTTTAGTATGGGCGGCTATACGTGCCTCCCGGCGCCAATTTTTTTTAATGGCACGTACTGTCATTTGAACTTAAGAAGAATGTAATTGATTTTTAAATTAACAGTAAAAATTATTTTTAAATGGCGTTGTTTAAAATTTGAGAAAAAGTATTTTTTGGAAATAGATTTGTGTGACTGAAAACATTCTAACCTCTTTTAATCTATCCATAATTAGTATTAAGTGTTGTGTCAATTTTTAGTAAATGGCGTCTACGGTTTGACCTCGCTAAAATTGTCATCAAACCGTCATTCTCCAGCTGTCTTTGACTCCGTTTTTTTTTCGATCATACGATACACAATAAGTTAGAAATAAGGTGTTATCAACCACTTCGCTCAATCATTCTAAATATATTACTATAAAGGTCACAAAATATATAAAATGTATAAGAAAGTATTAAAACACACACATAAATTAATATATTAACTGACAATTTAATATTTTTATCACAAAAGTTAAAATGTATTATTACTTTAGCGTAATTTTCAGATTACGAGTACACAATGTCAATAAACACTCATATTTAATATTATACAATATCGGTAAATTAAATAATTTAAAGATTTGTTAAGATGTCTGGATAAGATTTAGATTAAGATTAAAGAGTCACATTGCAGATGGATTATAAAGATAAGATATTAATGCATAAGGATTAACGATATAAACCGACATCTGGTGTTTAAATTTACCTATTATCTAACTACAAAGTATCTAATATTTGTTTTAGAGATATATCCCTAAAGTAATTGAATATTGAATTCGAACAGTATTAAATTTTATATTTATTTGTTTTATTTTTAAACCTTTATTTAACACGAATGCTAAAAATAAAATTAATTAATTAATTAAAATTAATTTAGATCAAAATCGATTTGTTAATACAGTAGAATCTCGATTAGGGTTAGGGTAAATATGCCAGTAGTATACACCAGTGGTCGAAAAAAAACGTATTTATTGGAAAATAAGTTAAAAATATGAAAATAATATAAAAAAAACTCTTCCGCTTTGTTCTATAATATTTTCTTTACCTAAATTGTCACCCTGAAACCATTAAAAATTCGGGAAGGTGACCACATGTTTGTGCTTCCTAATTTTTGCCTGTTAAACATGGAGGTGAGATAGTTTGCAAGGTAAGATAAAAATGTTGTATCTAATTTATGAAGTTCTTATAACTTGACGTGTATGTAGAATAGTCTATACTTTTATTTCAAATAACAAAAAATTATACTTTATAATATTTTAATGTTAAATCTAGGTGTCCGATAAACTCGTATATAGTTTTGCTTTAAGTCTAGTAGTCGGACGAGTGTCCGACTACTGGAAAAATAACTCTTTTGTTTTAGTCTTTTTCTTGATAATTGATATGTAATATCTACTATCTTTTTTATTTGAAATATAATGAAACATGAGTTTTTGGTAATGTTTAGTGGTCAGACAGCAAAGAAGAAGAGGGAAAATCGCGTAAAACATACGGTTAATACAGGATCCGTATAGGTCAACAGTACAGGACCGTATTAAAGACAAATAAATAAGCGACGTTGCATGCAAACGAATGGAACCAGAACTTGTTTTAACCAGAGAAATTTAAAAAAATATTGCCTGTATTGAATACTTAGCCGTTTGCGAATTTCTAATAAAAAAACAGGTGTGTCTTAATGCAGTTGAAAAAATTGTATTTAGAAGAAGAAAAATTAAAATTTTTTTTTTTTGTTTACTAATGGAAGCATGGTTTCATGAATCGCGTTGGTAGTTCTTGCTAACTAAATCTAATGGATGTTTGTTTCTTTCACCTGTATTGGTGTTTAAAAAAAAAGCAGTTAACATCCAGTCTTAAACTTTTCGGTTCGCTTGAGAAGTGGTAGTTTAACTTAACATTTTGTATAGAAAATATAAAGTTTTACTGCCACTCTTTAGTTTACCGGAGATTATAAAACCTGACTTACTAATTTATTAACTAAAACCAAACCAAACTAAATATAAAATAAAAAAAACCGTTGAAAGCATCTAGGGTAGTATACTTTCAAACCGACAGATGGCGCGAAATAGAGGTTTTGTTTTAAGTTAGGAAGCGTCCAAACTATCCTACTCTCTTATCTATGATACTAGTCAATTAATATGAGTTAACCGAAGTATTATATGTATACATATTTGTTTTTTGCTGCTGTCAATGGGCAACAAAAAAGTGCCGATAAAGTGAAAGCTTCAACATAGACACTTGCATAGAAGAAGTAGTTTATTTCCTTGCTTTTCAACATGTATTATTATTATTTTTAAACGCATAACGATGTGCTCAATTCCACTTAATATTATCATATCAATAGACAAAAAATATGTTATCTTAAAAGGTTATCTTGTTAATTGAATTTTGATTTGAACTACCTCTAGGGGCAGCCACCCGCTAGAATGGTGCAACTGTGCTACGTTGCCTTACCGTGACTACGCCAATGATCGTTATCCTTAACTAATATTTATAGAATATAAAGTTTGTTTGGATGTATGGATCTTTGACAGTCTCTCATGCAAAAACGACTGAATGGATTTTAATGAAACTTTACAATAATATAGCTTATACATCAGAATAACATATAGGCTATAATTTATAAAGATATTATAAAAAAATAAATACCAGAAGACCAATAAAATAAAACCCGGTTAGGTTAAACTCTGTCAAACATTTATTCATCGACTATCAATTACAACTAGACACATGTAATAGGTACTCTGTAGGTACTTTTAAATATCAATGACTAAAGAATACAAGGGCACGTAACGCCCATATACGGGCTATAGCAGAATTTGTGACGTTAGACGCCATTTTTTTGGAAGTAACGAATGAGTCATCAGCTGGTCATCAGCGACAATTTTAGTGATGTTTAATAGTTTGTTGTTTGTTGTGTGTAGGGAACTTTGTATAAACTTTAATACAATAGTAATTTGTTCAGCTTTTAAGTGTAAAAGGCGCAATGATAAGAAAGAGCCAGGAGTTATGTTTCATGGGGAAATAAACAGTCCACTCCACCTTTTTAGCGTTTTTTATTATTGAATTCGATAATTATTTTTCTGGCGTCTATACTAGTTTTGTACCTTTTGTTAACATTTTAATACGTATTTTTCATAAATAATTAGTATGGTACTACCACGGACACCATAGGCGTAGTCAAAACATTAATCAAAAATCTAAATATCGCTTCAAGCGGCTATGTTAAGAAAAATATGTGCCACGACCCTGTTTGGAAGAATGGTAACAAATTGGTCTGGGGTGTTATTTGTCCTTGTATTCTTTAGTTATTGTTTCTAATATTGCCATTAGGTGCTATAGTAAATATCACACTTTATATTAATAAAATTCGAATTTTATGCGGAAGAAGTCGCCAGAAAAAAACTAGTCAATAAATAAAAGAATAATTACTGTATTAATATTATATTTAATCTACATATTACAGTATGTTAGAGTATGCTAATTTTGATTGACTGATTACATCATCGATAAATTGCAAGTACTCCGAAACCTTGACGTATACGGCTGGAGTACGTGCGCCGCCACAAGTACCGCCCCAGGACACGATGCCAAGTTGCACGCCATTGGAGACAAGAGGGCCACCAGAATCACCCTAAAAAAGATAATATTATTTATTTAACTGAATTACACAATACGAGAAAAAAAGGCTTCAAAAACCGCTGGGAATGACAATCGATGATAATATTGGCGACGCAAAGCCCTAGCTAGGGTAATCGCAAAACAATTTCCGATGCACGTGATAAGCTGTGAGTGACAAGCGATGGCGACAACGCTGCCAGATTGTGATGGATTTATGAGATGAATCTTAATTTAAAATTGACAAACAAGATATTTATTATATCATTTTTTAAAGAGTTTTACGTTTTATTTTTAATGTAATAACTAATATTTTAGTGATTATTTGTTTTATAGCTTATTTTACTTATTGCATATTGGCAAAAACTAGTCCACTATGAAGATTATTATGAGCGTTATTATGGGTTATTTATTTATTGATGTAAATCTTACAAACGCCATAAGTATAACACGTAAGGTAATAACACGTAAGAGGGTGCTATTAATGCACAAACTAATAATTACAGAATTGAATAAAAACAAACTTTGAAAGTTGTATAATGTGCTTATCAATTAAACTTATTTTTCTGACTGCAGCCAAGGGCAAAAATGGTTTTTCTGACTGCAGCCAAGGGCTACAAGCTCGTTGCTTCGACTGTTTAAATGCTTCGGCATATTTTCAATACACAATTTCAAGAAATGCAATACAAAAACTCGAAAATTTAGTTCTTAAAAGAACTGTTTGTGCTTAAAAGTGCAATTTTAAAAAAAAAAGACTATGAAAATAGGCAAAAAAAGGAGAATTACTCAATTTTTAGTAACCTAGGGTGCAAATATGTCTTAATCCGCCACTGAACGAACTATAAATAATATTTTCGATAAATGGCAATAGCATCACGTTATCATCAAGTTAATTTAAGTTCGGCTACAATTTACTTCTAGATTTACTACCTTTAAACAACTATCAGTAGTAGAATAAACAACAAATAACATAAAATAAGCTCAGTAAAGACTGACAAATCCACAAAATTTCAAATCAAATTCAAATGTGTCAAATGAATCGTCAAACAAAACTGTCAAGGATTCCCACCTTTATCCGTCTACCTTGCATGAATACATAGACAATGGACATCATTATACTCCTTCCTTAATCTTTATTTATAGGTCTATCTAAATCATACTTTCGTTGCACAGACGATAATAATGATGCACTACTTACAGTACAAGTTGATTTTCCTTCCTCGCCAGCGCAAAACATCTTGCTGGTAACCTGTGTGCTATAAATAGTTTGTGCCTGGCAAGTTTCCGTAGTAATAAGAGGTATGGTTACCACCTAGAACAATATCTAAATTAAGGGCTGTGCTTCTTTTTATTGTAATAGATATACTTGTAGTCGTTCAGATAATGGTCCACTATCTGTAAGTAGTCCCCAACCTGTAGCGTTTGAAGCCTGACCGTCTTCAAAAGTAGTAGTACTGGATGGAAGTACTGTGGGGGCTGCACCAGCACTGTAGGTCTGTAAACATGAAAAAGTATGAAATAAAATATATTTCCAAAAATGCAAGAAAATCTACAAAATAAAATAGTTATTTTTCCTAAACACTTCTGCGTTAAACCTAAACGGACACTAGAAAAATCAAAGAAAAGGCAGCCGTCCTGTTTATGGCCATACTATTCAATGCTAAAAAGTACAATACTGGTCAATGAAAACATTGATATTTCAACGTTAAGGATAAGCTATACCGTTTAAATTTCCGTAGTAGTATAGCAACATCTAAACTTTGTAGATATAGCTCCTAGTAGTCATGTAGCGGTTACAAACCGAAAAAGTCAAAAATTTTAAACCCAGATGTCGTAAAATTTCTTTGCACTGTTTTTTTTTGCATTTAACCTACCCTTGCGGTTAAAGTACTATTTTTGATAGATATAAAGCAATTTTAACAGTTGCTATGAGAAAAAAATAATTAAAACCAACTCAAAAAAATTGGCGCCGGGAGGCACGTATAGCCGCCCATACTAAAATATGTTAATATCTCGAAAACTGCGACTTTGACTGATTTTGATGTTATTACAAATTTTGTTGCAAATATTATTCCTAATCTTAATTTGAAAACCGCGTTTCGCTAGCTACTGTAATTTTGGAGTTACGATTTTTTAAAATTTTTAACCCCCTCCCATACCCCCTTACCAACCCCCCACCCCCATCAAAAACTAATGGCCAGATTCTCGGGTGACGCAGTATTTTTGTGCCAAATTTGGTTAAAATCGGTTCAGCGGTTTTTGAGTTATCGTGTTACAGACAGACAGACACCATGAAAATATTTTGTATTTAGGTCATTTATGACCCAAATAACTCATTTTGAGTGAAATTAAAATTTTTTTTTTTGCCGATACTAATAGCCTACCATACCTATTGGTATGGTCGGCCAAAAAAAGTTATTAAAAAAATAAGAATAATTGATTATAGTGTCATTGATAGTAGTAATATTATTCTATGAATTACTGTAAAAACTTTTTAATAAACATTTAAATAAGAATATCAATTCAATCGTAGAAAAAATGTTATGTGCAACATGTGCAAAAAGCATATTTGTTGCACTCCACTTCGTCTTGAGCTGCAAAACTCATGCGTCGTGCAACAAATATGTCCTTTTTGCACTAGTTACACAAATAACTATTGTGCTTCTGTAACATTTCAAAAATATGACGTGAATTAAAATTTTATCAATAGCAATCTATCAAAAAATGAAAACTAAATTATATTAACATAGAAACGCGATTTGATTTATAGGAAAAATTCAACGATATTTTCATGTTTGTCTTTTTGATGTATGAAACGCTAAGAAGCGAAGAAACCCAGCTGGTAGTAAATAAGCTGGGGTTACATGGTTATATTAATAAATTAACATGACAATTACTCATTTGTTTTAAAAGATTCCTCGTCAAATACTTACAAGGTTGGTCGCCAATTCAACTATAGCTACATCATTTTCGTAGTTAAAATTGACTGATGGATTAAAACCAGAATGTGAAGTTATATTTGCTGCTTGGATTACTTCTCCTTCTTTTGTGCTATAAGACGACCCTACTCTTACTGTTACTTGACTAGTATTTCTAAAATATAATAACGATCACGTATAAATATCCATAGAAGTTATATTTAACCTATTATGAGTTATGAGTTTCAACACTTTTATAAAATTACATATGCAAATGCAAAAAAAATGTGCCTTTATACAAAAATCCAAATTTTCAAACAAATCCTATAAATAACCATAATACATAGTTCTCAATATTATTCACGATTTCAATATTATTTTAATGCGATTAACATGAACTATAACCGGGACGGCGCGACGTGGCGCGGCGTAAAATACATAGCAAAAATTTCTGATTTCTGCCGTATACAGCGTTGCGGTCGGAATTTTTTCAAATCAACCGAAATTCACCAAGCCTATAATGTATCAATTAAACTTACATGGACAAGAAACAATGGGCAGCGGTTAATATAAACTTATTATTCAAAATAGATCCACCACAAGTATGGTCATTGTCAACAAGAATTTCAATTTGATATGGATAATCTGTAATATTGGCATCATTACCCCCTACTATAAACGGAACAATGTTTCCTCTGACGAACGGTGGCGTAGCTAAAATATAAAAAAATACAAAGAGGTATTTACTAAAAGATTAAATTATAATCAAAAAGTACAAACCTAAAGCAAAATATATTTGAAATAAAATTAAAAATGCTCGTACAACAAGTGCCATTTTTACTTTCTTATTTTTAACAGCCAGGGCTCAAAAATGAAAGTAAAATGTAAAAAATATGTTCATTGCCTTTTATTAATATAGAATATATGCTTCGATATAGATATTAATATTAATCCACGCCTAAGTAAAAAGTTTTAAAAAAGAATTAATTGATTGATAGCTATTTAATTTCAAATATGGATTAACTTGCATAATCTTTATTGAATGGAAATATATTTAACTGGGTTAAAAAAGGTAATGCTTCCTATTTTTTATAATATTTTTATTTCATTACCGTCGCTACTTATCGGTGGTTGATACTGTTGGTATCATTTAATCATACTTAGCTAAAAGTTTCAAATAAATTTTGAGATACATTTTTTCAATTATCTTTGCAAACTAATTAATTATAATATTTTTTGTTTGGCACTCTAGTCTATAACAGTGTACCAGAAACAATTCGAAACATGTCAAGGTCGCATTTCGTCGCCCAACTTTGAACGCATTTCGATTTATTTCCAATTGTCTGGACCCGCCTCGGTTTGCCTCGAGATACTTAAAAGCGCCCCCGAAAACTACTCGTGAGGAGGGCGAGAAGCGATTTTTTGGCGTTTTTTGTTGCCTCGTTCAATTTTGTTTTGTTTTGAGCTATTTCCAAAACGTGGCGGTATCTGTACCAGAGGCAAAGGTTTTTTTTCATAAATCTCAGTGAAATAAGTAAACCTAGACGTTTTTAAAATAACTGTTATTACGATGATATTTCGGTAATTACATCTCGTTTTATGTTATATTGATATATATTCCACAGAATTAATATTTGAACACGGGTTATAGTAGATATTTTGGAACAAAACTTTTCACTTATACCGCAGGAATGTATAATTACAATATTTTTATGATTTAATTTTATTATAATGAATTAATATATAAAATTATATATGATATGTGTTTTTACGGCCACTGGCACGCCAGTCCTTCGCTGGCGCCACTGACCTCACTGGCATGTAATATACACGTTGTAAATATATTTTAATTCTAAACAACTTTTCCTAATGACAGTTTGCTGATTTTTTTGAAATAAGGGTACTTTACTCTTGTACCATTCTAAATCCACCTAATATGATTATCGAAGATGCACCAACTTTTGGCAATATTAGAATTTTGGTAGTACAATAAATAAAAAAAAATCCCATATGTTGCACACTAAAATGACCACACTGTAGAATGACCTTTATTTTATCCTCTTTATTCAGCGCTAATGAAGAATGTATATGTATAAGCTCAAAATTAAATAAATGAAACAATTATGTTATGCATATTTGTAATATTATTACTTAAGGAAGTTTTCTACATATCAAAATATGAAGAATATCAATATGTATATTTTTATAACTTGACTATACTATTAATAAAAGGTAAGAGCTCGGTAACTTTTGCATATACGCCTGGAGTAACTGCACTGCCACAAACCCCACCCCAGGACACGATTCCAAGTTGTACACCATTTGACACAAGAGGGCCACCAGAGTCGCCCTGAAAAAAATAAAACATTTAAATATTTCAAAAATATTTAGGAAACAATTATTTAATAGTCACATTTAATAATTAAAAAAAATATATTTGTGAGGCTTTCTACAGGGTTACTTTGAATGTAGCAGAGAATAATAATAAAGTTTATTTATTAACGAGTCGTAATTTTCCCTATAGCTTGAAAATTTTTAAGTGCAAACTAGAAACACTTGCATTTTTGGTAAAAATAAGTGGAATTGAGTTGGTTTTCGACAGTGATCGGGCTATTAGAACTCTGAATTCAAAAATCGATATCTCGAAATCTATTAGAAATAATTGATTGTAGTTTTTTCAAAAACTTTCTTAATATTTCTGCTGTATTTTCTTCGTAGACAGTAAGTGAAAATCTTTATCAATAAAAAAATTACACGACTTCTGAAAATTGCTATACTCTAAAAGTAAATAGATGGAAAAAGAACCTTATCGAATTTTTCTTATGTAAACATATTATAAAAGATCCTATCTCCAAAATAAAAAAAAAAAGTTTCAATATCTAAAGTGTTTCTTGAGTTATGGCAATAAATTGGGTTATGTGTTAAAAAGTTGAGTTTTGAAATTGTCGCGATTACTGACGTTTGCTCGGTATAAAAAAAATGACACCTTCAAGATATCCTTATAATTCCATTTCAGATGCTCAGAAACATTTCTAATGATTTTATCTAGTTATCTTTTCGAAAAAAAGTCTATTAAAAATAAGCGGTTTGCGATCGTGATTTTACTTTACTTGACAGGGAAAGGCGTACCGGCAACTCCGCAACAGCACTCCGTCGCATTTCTCTCACTCCGACTTAATAAGATCCCTATGCGATTTACTTCCACACATGTAAATACCGACCCAAGAGTAACAGTTGCCAGCACGGTATGGAATCGTAAATAGCCAGAAAGCATCCTCCTCAAGCTCGCCTGACTCATTGGTGAGTCAGGCTTGTAATTGGATATAATATTGTCGAGAGAAATTGCAGAGCAAATCGGTCTTAATATTACTTAGTTCACAATTCAGAGATTCTTGATCACTGCATATAGTGATTGCTCGATGACATAATGTTTTAACTATGCCTCTTTCGGTTGCTTCAGAATGGTTTTAAAATCTCAGTCAAACCAGTCTGTTCTAAAATATATAAGCTTCTTATATCTACTGATATGCTACTTACAGTGCAAGTATCTTTTCCACCTTCACCAGCACAAATCATGTTGCTAGTAATTTGTGTACCATAGAGAGTTTTTTGGCAAGATTGTGTTGTAATCAAAGGAACAGTTACTACCTGGGAAGAAACTAAAATTAAAAGCTGGTTAGCTAATAAGCTGGTTAGCATACCTGCAACTGGTCAGCTAGTGGTCCGTTGTCTGCAAGTAGTCCCCAACCTGTAGCAATTGAAGACTGACCGTCCACAAAGCTGGTTGTACTGGATGGGAGAGGTATAGGCCCTACACCAGAACCGTATATCTATGAAAATAAAGAGAAGAAAGAATTTATTGGGCAAGTCTACAGTAAGATTAGTCATGAGACATGACTAAAACATGACTACCCGTAGACTAGGCAGTAGCTTACTGCCTAACCAGGCTGCAAATGGCGCCTTGTGCCTCGTTTGCTTCCCTCCTTCCTTTTTTTCAGGATCGCTAGTTCATCGTTGCTGATTCTTCCCGTATTGACGAAGCCGGAAGGCAGAAAAACTGAGTGTCTACGGGTAGTCATGTTTTAGTCATGTCTCATGACTAATCTTACTGTAGACTTGCCCATTAAATTCTTTCTTTTTTTTTTATTATAGTCTCCACGATAACATCTTTTGTTTATGAAAGTAAATATAGAATACACTACAGTTGACTGACATTCAAGTATTTACGACAAACAGTTTGTTCGATGCAAGTATTTTTTATAAATTTACTTTTGCCATACATTTTTTTGTGCGAGAAAACCTAAAAACAAAGATTTTAAGACAAAAAAATTATGGCGGAGGTCGACATAGTTGATGGTTATTTTCATTTTGAAATCCATACACAGACATAGACTATTTTATTTTGGTATTTTGTTACTTCACATTTAGAAATAGTGGCTGCTGAAAACGGGAACATCTTGGACACAAATTGCATAAAATGTTTCGAAACATTTCATCTAAAAGTTTTGATTCCGCATCGGAACATTTCAGGAAGCCGTTTCCATTTTTTTGTGTTTGTACCACATTTTTGTGGCGTACCGTTTCCATTTTGTGTCAAGAAACAGACACAATTATTAGAAAGATTACCTAAAATGTGTCCAAAAATGTTACTTGGGGCATTACATTGACCACTTGCAAATTTTTATTGTCGGTATACGTACTGTGCTAATGTACTAAATATAGCAATATAGCAATACTGTTATATCTTTTTTTTCTGTAAAGAAGGTACTTACAAGGTACTTACAAGATTGGTTGCTAGTTCAATTAAAGCTACATCATTATCGAAGCCAACTGATAAATCAAACTTAGGATGTACAGTTATGTTTGCTGCCCGGATTATTTGTCCGCCACTTGTTCTGTAAGACGATCCTGCTCTTATTGTGACTTGGCTAGTATTTCTAAAATATAAAAACAATCACTGGTAAGATTCTAGGAAACTAAATATTTTACTGTTATATAATTTAAATCGTGGAACAAAATAGTATCGTAATATACAGGGTCTGGCAATAGAGCGTCGGGCATCTGTAGCTCCCAGAATAAAAAAAACTTGAGAGTTTTGATTTAAGTGCAAACCTAAAGATCTATGAAAATGTATTTCAGGGAAATATTTTAACTTCTATATGGTGGCTCAAAAAAGTATAAGTGGATATTATTGCATTTTTGGCTTCCTTTCAGATCATTTTGCATAATCCTAAGATATGAGAAAATATATTTCGATAATTCCAGAGAGTTTGAGTCTTTTTGCTTTTTTAAATGATGTCTTCATCATCTGATTCTTAATATTAGGATTTTTTAACATAATAAAAATTATTAACGTTACTTTGAATGTGGTAGACACTGTAGACAATGATTCAGTATTAAAACTAAAGGAATTTCGGACTTCCATTGTCTTTATTTATTTTGCTTACACAACGTTTCCGTCCGAACTATCACTGTTTCACACTGATAACGGTGAGTGATACTTCTGACCCAAAGGTTGTGTAAGCAAAATTACTAAAGACCATGGAACTCCGAAATTCTTTTAGTTTTAAAAATTACTAAACTGGTTAGTGATCCTAATTGGATTAATTGGTATATAATCCTGGATCAGTACTTTCAAAAAACAAGAGAAGAATAAAATTCGTATTTGGACAGAAACTATTTCGACAGATTTACCAGGGACGTGCATATGGGTTATCACCGAAATATTTTTTCTAAAATTACCTGTGCGCCACAGACTTTTTTCTCTCATTAGCACAATAGTGTAGGCCATTTAATGCCGATTAAAACTTGTCACTTGATATTTTCTCAATATCAATCTCCTTGATGATTTTAATAATTTGCCTTAATTCAAGGCTAGGAGCAACCTTTCATTTTTTTTAAGTTTTTAACTAACTATGGTATTAAATAGGTACTCATTGATTCCTCATCACAAAGAATGAAAAAAGTTCCTATAAACATGAGTGCATAGTTTTAAAGTTAATGGATCTTTAAAAAAAAGTTTTTTCTAATTATCTTAAATGCCATTATTTTTTTTCTCGGATTTGCTGTAGGAACACTGATCATCAAGTGTTATAAAATTTAATAATAAATTACCTTACACAAATAATTTATTAATTGTGATTAATAAAACTACGTTTATCTCATCAAAAAGATCGAAATCGTCAATATATCGAGATGCAACTTTTAATCGACATTAAACAGCGTACATAATTTTGGTAACGAGACAAAAAACTCAGTGGCGCACATGTTTTTTTAGAAAAATATTCCAGTGATAATCCATACACACGACCTTTGTGAATCTGTCGACACGTTTTTAATACTAAAATATGTCACATTTACAGTAACTTTTACCTTCACAATTTCATTCGAATCACGAAAAGCAATTTTTTTTTCAAACACCCTGTCTAATCTGATTAAAAACAGATCATGTAGCATACTTACACTAATTCAAAGCAATGAGCAGCAGTTAATATAAATTTATTATTCACAATCGAGCCCCCACAAGTATGATCATTGTCAACGAGAATTTGAACTTGATAGGGATAATCTGTAATACTGGCATTTTGACCTCCTACAATAAAGGGAACAGGGTTGTTTCCTTTAATAAAGGATGGTGCAGCTGTAACACATTAAAAAATATAAATTATTAATTTAAAATTTACTAAAATAAAAAATACTTGCCTAGTGTAAAATAGATTTGAAATAAAACTAATAAAGCTTGTGCCACAAGTGCCATGATTGCTTAATTATTGTGGCCAAGACTACTAGAATATGAAGGTGAAGGTGGAATGCTAAAATTGCTCACTTACCTGTTAATAATATAAGATCTTTATTTAAATATGGATATGAAAATTAATTCGCATGCAAATAGAACATGGTAAAAACGAAGTAATTGATTTATACCTACCAAGATAGATTAAAGTATATAATCGTATTTAGTTGAAAATTATTTAATTTTATATATAGAAAATTGATCATTTTATTTCATTTTTTTTGATTTTGGATTGATTTCATCATTTCTAGCATTTCATATGATAGAAATAGTACCTTATCTGGTCAAAATTAAAAAAGGTAGAAAAAAGACTGGTCAAAACGAAGTAATTGATTTATACCTACCAATAGAGTTGTGCTTGGTCAATTGACCGAGATTTTGACAGATTTTGACCGGAAAGATTTTGACTAGGTCAGGTCAAAATCTTTTAATTGGCGTAAACCAAATAACAGGTACTGACTTGTCTAAAGCACTCGCGACGCGAAAGAATTGTTAGTTGCTGTTTTAATGTTGACTCAATGAGTTCAATGATGATTGTGATGAAGATGAGATTCTGTTGTCTAGATTAGCCTGTGCTACCACCACTCATTAGTATTTTTTTATTGCTATTATGCATTTTTTTCGCTACCTCAGAATGGCTTTATATTTGTTTAAAAATTATTAGTCTTGTTCGGTTACTGTCTTTTTTGTATCATTTAATGTAATGCAAATGCAAACAAATCGTACGATAAGTTGCCGCGTGTGGACCACGCTTTACATTTAAATTAATATTAAATTTTATATAAAACTTTTAAATTTAATTATCATTTAATGTAATGTTTCGTTTTGTTGTATTCTTTAGTTTTTATTTACTGTTTTTTTAATCACTAATATACGTATAAATGTAATTTCTCCTACTTTTATTTTTTTAGAATCACGAAAGAATTTGACTGGTGCTTTGTCAATTGACCACAAAAGATTTTGACGGTCAAAATCCCAACTCTACCTACCAAGATAGATTAAAGTACATAATCGTATTTAGTTGAAAATTATTTAATTTTATATATAGAAAATTAATCATTTTATTTTATTTTTTTTGATTTTGGATTGATTTCATCATTTCTAGCATATCATATGATAGAAATAGTACCTTATCTGGTCAAAATTAAAAAAGGTAGAAAAAAGACTGGTCAAAATGTTGTCAATTTTGTTGATTTAGCATAGCAGTTGCGCCCTCTAGGGGTCGTTCTACAAACTTGAAAGTAATTTCCCACAATTTCTCATGGTCTTCTTCTAGTGATAAATATTTTTTCCGTAGGCTCTACGACTAATACTTTCTAATACAGCCGAAAGCTATTCTTAGAATACCCGGTACAATCGTTCCTTCATATTGTTAATAACGCATATAACTAATATTAAAAATATATTTTTTGACATATTAGTAAATTGTAGGGTAGGCATACAGAAATCCCAAAAGTCTGTCTTGATAGATATAGCCTAACTTAATACCTTTTAGCTTTAGTGATAAAAGTATTAAATTGTCAATTTATAGGAAAAAAATAAATAAATGGATTTATTTTCTGGGAATACCTACATTTTTCCTCAGCATCTCAGAGAGATAAACCGAGAAATAAAAAAAGGTAGTTTTTAGTTATTGACTAAAGTAATGCAGCAAAATATAAATAACTCTATACAGGATGTCCGATTTTCGTATGTTTTCCAGGGTTACCCGTTTATGAGAGGTACAAAGATGCTGTTTTCATGTTACTGAGATCATGTGGTAGCTCTGGTGTAAAAAATGCCAAGTTGTCATATTTATTTATTTATTTCCTTACATTGTCATTCGTTTTGATACTTTTTGTATTACGAGTTTTTGGTTTGAATGAATTGTATTGTGATACTTTAATCTTAATTTTTTTACTAGCAGACCTTGCAGTCGAACATTGTTCTTTTTAGAACCTCTTTTAGTGCGAAGTGTACAAGATAGCTTAATAGCCGTAAAAAACTCATCGCAACTTTATTAGAATATTTTGAACGGGAAAGCGGTAGTAATGGCTCTTTATATCCCGTAAGTGTAAGAGCACTTAGGAGGTGAGTTTTGTTGATCTAAATGATAACTGTTTTTATATTTATAATTAATTTATTTTTTGTTTCCTAAAATATTTTGATTAAAAGAAAATATGTAAAAGTGGGCAACGCTGCGCCGGTCAAGCTTAATCACGTGACTAAAAGTTTATTTGATATGAACTATAGAGTATATACAGGGTGGCCCATCGAAAACGTTCCGCAAGGCATAACGGCTAAGGTATTCTTTTTTTCAAAAAATCCAAAAGCACGTCAATTTTTTGGACAACTTTCGCCCCAAAAATGATTGCGAAATCTTCAACCCTCTAAGCGGGGGTGTCATCCCCCAACTTTTTTCAAATGGGAAGGGGGGTCAAGTGGCACCGCAAAAAATGAAAATCCGTCGAGTCATTGAGAAAATATGAAGGATTGAAATTTGAAAAGTTTATTGGAACATTTATCAGAGTAAGTAAAATTAAGGATAAATTCTTTCGACCAATTTGAGGTTTTTCTTATTATTGCTAGATGTTTACGCATTTTTTACTTGCCACAAGGTTGAACGATCAGGTGCGGTAGTTGCTAGATAGCTGTTCTGTGACTTGTGCGTTGAAGTTCTTCTCAATATTGTAAAACTGACTCACAATAGAATTTCCAAAAATACCAGCCGGTTCACAAACCTCAGTTCAATTTATGAGGGTTTTGTGTGTGCACCTCGTGAAAAACCCTGGGGTTGTCTTCAGCCCAGTACCGACCAGTTGTGCCGATTAACTACACCGTTCAAAAAGAAAGTACACTCATTCAAAAAACACACATTAAATGGAAAATTATTATCATTCGCCACTCGTTCACTCATAGCTTCACAAAATTGCAAGCGACGATCAAAATCGTCTTCGTTGAGTTCTTGTACCAACTGAATTTTGTACGGGTGGAACTTCCGTTATTTTAATATCCTTTGGACACTTTGCTACTAACTCGCGAACAATTTTGCCATAAAGGTGGTTGTCAGGATGGCGTTCATTGAATATCTGCGCAACCCGATTGCCACATTCATTATTTTTAAAATAAAGCGATTATTTCCACTTTTTCTGCAAGTGAGTACACCATAATAATTGTTAAAAAATTTAACGATATTGAGAAGAACTTCAACGCATAAGTCACAGAACAGCTATCTAGCAACTACCGCACCTGATCGTTCAACCTTGTGACAAGTGAAAAAATGCGTAAACATCTAGAAATAATAAGAAAAAAAAATTGGTCGAAGAAATGTATCCTTCTCATTTACTCTGATAAATGTTTAAATAAACTTTTCAAATTTCAATCCTTCATATTTTCTCAATAACTCAACCGATTTTCAAAAACGAAGCCGGAAAGTATAGAGAATAGAAAGCCCTTTTCATTGCGGTACCACTTGACCCCCCTTCCCCGCGTAAAGAGTTGAAGATTTTGCAATCATTTTTGGGGCAAAAGTTGTCACAAACAAAATTGACGTGTTTTTGAATTTTCTGAAAAAAAAATTACCCTGGTCGTTATGCCTTGCGGAACGTTTTCGATGGGCCACCCTGTATAAATATTTTAAATGGGACACACCCTATACAGTCTATGCATGCTCTGTCTGGAGTTATTTACAATTTGCATAACTTAGTAAAATTTATACTAAAAACATTAAATTTCCTTTAAAATTCATCAACTGATTTAATAATAAAATGAAATAAATATATGGATAAAAATGTCGTATGATTATAGAAAAAGTTTATTTTGTGTGTACCGTACTATTTAAATCATTCTGTGTACAATTATGTGTCATTAATTAAAGTACTTTCAGGGTTCAATTTTGCCAGACATGTTTTAAACATTTATCATGCTGTTGGCCATTTACCTATAGATATGCCGTTCCCATATGTCGTCCTATATGCACATTAAAATTTTTATGAAACTTATATTTGATGTAATGCTCTAATCACAAAATGCTTTGTACATATTTTAATTTCAAATGCCTCCTAACGACAGCCTGTCTTGATAAATTACACCCAATATGTCATGTTTTTCTCGTAAATACGATGACATTCCATGTGGGTTTAATAAGTATCTGCCCACCATTCGCTAGATGAACATGGATACGGAAATTGATATTCTACAATTGAACATTCAAGTTCTGAAATATTTATTTATGTGGCCGAAGAACTGTCTTACCAAAAATCAAAATTTGTTTTTCAGCTATGCTTATTTTCTTGTCAGTATAGGTTTTACGGTTCCTGTTTTTTGGCCAATCATATATCAAGTGAGTATATAAAAAAATAATTTATATTAAAAAACCATTTCAGATAACATTCTTAATTTCATTAAATACACTTTTTTTATTAATATTTTTAAATAAAAATATAATAATTAAATAATATACAGTAATGCAGTATGTCCCTGGATTGTCTTTACAAGAGAAAAAACTTTTTTATTATTGACATTTTGAAAATTTAATTAATAATGAATAAAAACAACTAAAACTTATTCGATTTCTTCACTTCACCAGTCACCAAAAACTTTCTTTGCTTAACATTTCTTGAAATTAAAATATTTTTCGTTAAATTCTTCAACAACCCAACGATAACTTATAGCCTTCTTATAGCATCACCTTTTTGTAGTATTGAATTAAATAAAGTTTGCACTTCTTTAATATTTTAGGCTCGACTTTCGTTTACTTGAAATCATGTAATGTACGAAATATTTGTTCATTTAATATTTGGAAGCCTTTTCGAATAGTAACTCATACAAAATTTTATGCGGAAATGCATCCTTTTTGAGTTTTTCAACATTAGAATAGCTGAAATCAGGGCTACATAAGTTTAGCTGAAATCAGTTACATGTAAGAAGTATTTGTTTATTTAGTACTTGGACGCCTTTCCAAATAGAAAGTCAAGAAAATTTTTCTGTGGAAATGCATAATTTTCAGTTACATGAAAACACGTTTCTGTTTTTCATTCTAGAAATTTTTCTAAATATAGACACGCAAAAAACTTTTTGCGGAAGTGTACCGTTTTCATTTATTGTTAAAATATTGTAAAATATAGCAAGATTTGAAAAGTACTCGGCAATTGGAATTCGCAAACAGACGCGTTTTAGCTTACAGCGTGTTTTGATTGCTTTGGTTAGGTCTGTTTTGGTCTGGTTTGACTCATTTTTGTTTATTTTCGTTTTTCTTCTCGGTACAGTGTTGATGTCTAAATTACAGTAGGGGGGGGGGTATCTACTAGGTTAAGTTCATACCTACACAAGACGTACGTCTGCTGGATCTGTGTCTATGAAAGGAATGCGGACAAAAAACATTTAAATAAACAGCAATATATTTTATACATCGACTTGACGAGTACGTCACCTCAAATCGCTCCGCCCACTCATTTTATTGGTCACTTGCAAATTTTTCGAATTTTTATTGATGGGACGCGTCGTCTAATTTTTTACGATAAACATCGAGAGAATATCGTTTCCCCTCTCACGGATACCCCGTAGCTGCAGAACGGACAAACGTACTGTAACTGATTTCAGTTATTCTAAAGTCAGAAAAAAGAGAACGATGCATTTCCGATTTTGCGTTTGGGGAGGCTTCTATATACTGGATGTTTTGTTGTTTTTTTCATAAGCGACAAGTAAAAAAGTTCATCCATATTTTAATGTAATGCGAAGTACCAAAGCTATTTTCGAAGGATTTTAGTCTCTATAGAATAATGCCCAACGTGAGATGTAATCATTAAACTATTTATAATTGTTTTCCAGGATATTTTTATCGCTACCCCTATTTATACCGAAAAATGCCGTGTTATATGATCGAAAAAAGGCGTCAAAGACGGCTTGGAAATGACAATCAATGGTAATTTTGGTACGGTCAATCTCTAGACATCATTTACTAAAAATTAACACTAATTATAAAAAGATTAAAAAAGGATAGAACGTTTCCAGACACATAATTATTTTAAAAATTATATTTTTACTCGAATTTTAAACTACTCCATTTAAAAATCATTTTTACTCAATATAAAAATAGATTACAACCTTCTTAAGAGCCTATACGGTGTGCTGTTACCGCTCTCAGGAGTCGGGTAAAGTGGGATTGTGGCCGAAGAAAATATACAGGGTGTTTCAAAACAAATGCGAAAAACTTCAGGGGGTGATTCCTTGTTCAAAATAAAGGGTAGTTTCCTTCATAAACGTTGGGTCAAAAGTCAACCATTAGGGAGATATTGCGGTACAAAGATGGTGGAAAAATAATGTTTTTATTTTTTATCTTGAAAACGAAAAGAGATAGACTAATAAAATTTTATGAAAGCATTACTGTTATGAAAACACACTTTCTGGTAATTTTTTCACTTTTTTAAAATGAGTGGAAGGGGTTGAAATAAACTACCCCTATCATTCTTGTTAACGAAATTTAAAGAAAAAATCTTATCAAACACATGCAAAAAAAAATTAATTTGGATAGTTTAGTTTGTTTAGAAACTTTTTATCTCTTGTATTTTTTGATAAAACTCACCGATTTGAAATTAAAAAATAAAATGTAAAGATTACATGTCAGGACAAAAACATTTTCTGATAAAGAATCTATGGGCTGCTGTAATTTTTTTAGGAAAAAATCTAGTCGGCCTCTGTTACTTTTTAGGATGTTCCTAATATTATTTTATTTGACATTACTCTACTGCAATACGTTATTATCTAGATGATTATTATTATCGTTATTATCACTAGATTCTTAATCTAAAAATGTTTTTTGTCCTGACATGTAATGCTTTACATTTTATTTTTTAATTTCTAATCGGTGAGCTTTATCAAAAAAACACAAGAGGTAAAAAAGTTACTAAACAAACTAAACTATCCAAATTAAAGCATTTGCATGTGTTTGATAAAATTTTTCTTTAAATTTCGTTAACAAGAATGATATGGGTAGTTTATTTCAACCCCTTCCACTCATTTTAAAAAAGTAAAAAAATTACCTGAAAGTGTGTTTTCATATCAGTAATGCTTCCATAAAATTTCATTAGTCTATCTCTTTTCGTTTTCAAGATAAAAAATAAAAACATTATTTTTCCGCCATCTTTGTACCGCGATATCTCCCTAATGGTTGACTTTTGACCCAACGTTTATAAAGCAAACTACCCTTTATTTTGAACAAGGAATCACCCCCTAAAGTTTTTCGCATTTGTTTTGAAACACCCTGTATATTATATTTCAGATTTCAGATATCTGCCTAAGGCTTAGCCCGATCCTGTTATTTTAAGCCACATCCAAAATTCCAAACACACCTGCTTGGATTAAGGCTTGATTAAGGTTTGCAGAGCTTCAGCATTTGCCATAAAATAGCGAGCAATTTGTTACAAAACCATATAAATTATATATCACTGTAATCACAAAACTTCAATCTATTTCCGTATTGTAACGGAATTTTAAATTATGTCTTTATTTTCGAGAAACTTTAGTCCAAACATAAGGAATATTTTGTTGATGTTTGACCATCAAAATCTTAAAAATAAAGAAGTTGTCAAAAATGCGCTACAACACGGATATAGTATAATCCTTTATCTTTAATTTCCTTCTTTATTTCATAAAACGTTAAATGCCAAACGCCTATTTTGCTACTTTTTCGGACTAGTGAAATGGACTCTTCTAACTGGCAGTAGCACCATTAAAAATATAAAAAAGAGTACGAGCCAAATAAATGGCGTCTAAGGCTTGACCTCGCTAAAATTATTATCAATTGTCATTCCGAAGCCGTCTTTAACACCGTTTTTTTTTCGATCGTATGGTATTTTATTTCAACAGCTTTCGATTGGTGTGGAAAATCTTAACAATCTAATGGAAACTCTAATTGCCATGTGCGATATAACCGGATATTTAATCGTTTATTGTTCAGTTATACAAAACCAACAAACCCTAGCAAAAATTTTGAAAGATATCAACATATTTTCGAAGTATTGTAACAAAGAAGTTATACTAGAAGCGGACGAACAATGTACCTACTACACCAAATGTAAATTTAGTTTTTTCCTAACTTTAAAGACTATGTAAACTAATTTTGATTTTTTTGAAGATCTCCTTATTTATTTAGCTGTTGGACTAGGCTGCAATTTGGGCTGGCCTTTGATATCCACAAAACATTGTATTAGAAGCAGAGGTATTTTTCTTCTAACAAATTTTGGTTACTATTAAAAGTAACAAATTTTGGTTACTATTAAAAGTAAAAAATTTTCGTTACTATTTAAGAAGCTTTGAATTTCAGGTACGGACTTTCACTTGAAACATAACCCATGTGGAATGCCTACACAAAATTTTTATCCATTTGATGCTAGCAAACCGCATATCTTTTGGATAGTTTATATGATGGAGGCCAATTACTGTGTTCATATTTGCTATGCATTTTCTCTAGCAACTGCCATGGTTACAGGTAAAAAAGGGTGTCCCGAAATTGTCATATAAATTTAAATAAATCTAACATACTAAAAATAACCTCATATTGTACAGGGTGGGCCAAATTGGACACTTTTAAATGGAAACACCCTTTTCTATAGGAGACGAAAACTAATATCGGTGTCTGGAGCTCAATTTTTATCAAAAACATGATGATAATAATCGTATATCGATATCTGTTACCGTTTCGGAGTTACGGGGTGTTTCTCAAAAATGTGTATTTTTCACGTATCCCTGTAACTTTTTTGCTACGGAAAATTTTGTATTTTTATGAAAACATTTCCAGAGCATCTTTTTACGTAGAATTTAATGGTTTAAGTATATATTTTTTTAAATTAATAATTTAATAGTTATCAACAGAAAAATTGATTATTTAATTGGGACACCCTGTATATTTTTAATTAACTGAAGAGGACTTAAAGTTACCTTTACAAAAATATAGCACACTTGATATTTTGTTATAGTCACACGAAATACAAAATTTTTAAAAGTTCGCCACTTTTAACTAGTAGGCTTTGGCCCCCAATGATGATCTGTCCCTAATAGAACTTGAAAACATGTTTCCAGCAAGGCGAGGCACCGCCTCAGAACGCTGAACTTAACCAATTTCGAGAACAATTGAATAGCTAGCCAAGATGCCGGCCGTTGGCCGTCGAGGCCGCCAAACTTAGCCCCTATGGATTTTTATCTCTGCGGAAGAATAAAGGTTCGTATTTTTAAATTGCCCGTATAATCTAGACAAGAATTAGAAGTACTTAGCGATTATGCAAGGGTATCTTTCACCCTAACGAGTTAATGAATTCCGCGAGAAACGTTTAAAATCGGTCCTGTATGTCCATAACAGAAGACACCTGTAGCAAAATCTCATGTCTTAGTATGCTATTTATTTTTATTGTTATTAGATATAGTTTAAATGTGTTGATGTTGTTAAATATAGTTTATATTGTTATATAATTCTGCATCTCTCATTGGAAATATTATTTTCGTTTTAATTGCTCCTCACACCTAGAATTTTTTTTGCATTACAGCTGCATTATAGCCGTTCAAATATTGAAAGTGGGCCCATTTTTAAAAACTCTATATCTCGAAGAGGAACCGCGCAAATTAACAAGTATGCTATATTTTTGGAAAGGTAATTTTAAATTCTTTTCAATGAATTAAAAATATACCGGCCGTCCCATATAAAAAATCAAATTACAGATCAGATCAAATTTTCTGTTATAATTCTTAACTTATTAATTAAAAAAAAAATATGCTTAAACCAATAAATTACACGTAAAAATGTGCTTTGGAAATGTTTTCATAAAAATATACAAGCTTCCATAGCAAAAAAGTTACAGCGACTTTAAAAATGTACACCTTAACAACAGTAACAGATATCAATGTGCGGTTTTTACCATCATGTTTTTGATAAAAATTAAGTTCCAGGCACTGATATTAGTTTTTGTCTATCTTCTATAGAAAAGGGTGTTCTCCTTTAAAAGTGTCCAATTTGGCCCACACTGTACAACATGATATTGTAATAAACGTATAACTGAATGAAGCGTATCATAATAAAATTAATAGAATATCTCTAATGTTTCATCCAAAGAATTAGAGAAGGTTTCAATAGAGGATATCCAAAAACATTACATTATAATGACACAACTGATAATGGCATGTAGATATACTCTCGTTGAACAGATTATGAGACATAGAACTGTCTTGAATATTGAAGCAGCTTAAAAATATTCTATAATAAACAAAGTTATTATATTTTAGGATTACTAATACATATCATCGCACAACTAAAAAATTGTGGCGCAATGTTTGAAAACGTTTTTAATGAAAATGAAGAAAATCTAGATGGTTTTAAGGATGCCGCCAAACGAAAATTTATAACTTGCGTTAAATACCATCAAGAGATATTACTGTAAGTGTAGTAGTGTATAACCATACCATTATTACAGAAGAATATATTATATTTCCGTTCATATTAATCAAAAGCATGGTCCAGATGCTACTTCATAGCATTCGATATCATAGCATCGAACAAATTTGAGACTTGAGATCAAAATATGTACCAGGAAAACTCTCCAAAACCATAATTATAGAGCTTTCTTTTTTCTTGAGTTATAAATCATCATACAGGCTCAGGGCTTTGCCAAAAGCCATCAGTATCTAAGATACATTTTGTTTTTTTCAGAGGTTAGTTCTACATCTATGTTACCTCAATTCCATGTTAAGGATGGATTCTTCCAGGTTCTTGAATTCTTAAAATTTTAAATTGGTTTCCACTTGGAAAGCAGAATGGTTCTGGTCCAGTTAGTAGAGTGTTTGCTCCTTTTCTAGCTAGATCGTTTGATTTTTTATTACCCTCTATCCCTTGGCATCGAGAGTAGAAAGACTTTTTTGCCTAATTTGTTCAGCTTTTCTAGGCACTTTTTGATTAAATTGGATGTGCTACACAATGATTCAGAACGTTTCGATCAGAAGTATCACTGGCCAGTTCACACTTGATATCAGTGATACTTCAATGCCATGTTCTTGGAATGTCCATTGTTGCTGTTGGGCAGGTACTTATGCCTCTTGTGAAGCAGATGTATACCAGTCTGTATTTTACACAGATTTTGTCTTGCTGTACGTTGCTTTAGTTTTGTGTACCAAGCTAATGGTCTATTATCCACCCCAAGATATTAGAATGCATCTATTTCCTGCCATTCTTTTGCATATTATAAGAGCTTTTGTGGCTTTTCTAGGGAATGTTCTTAATGTGCCTGTTCAACAGGCATTTACTGTCGAGGGTTATTCCGAGATATTTGACTTCCTGTGATGGGAGTATTTCTTTTCCTTCTAGTTAAATTCTCTTCAGAATTTCGACTTCGTTACCTGGTGAATAACACTGGTTTTGTCTGAAATGGTGCTCAACCCGACAGTCCTGCACCATCTCTCAAAACTATCTTCAACTACATAACATGCAATTAATTAACTTGATGCTGTGCTATTCAGCAATGTATTGAGTAAAATTAATTAAGATATTGTCATATCAGAAATCAAAATATGTTAACATTATTTTAGATATACGGAAAGAGTGTTTAATGTCTTCAGCCGAATGTTGATTATTTACGTAACCATGACATCTTTTACTCTAGCAGTCATAAGTTATCAAATAGCTAATTCGAAGACCAATTATCAAGACAGATTGAGATACGCCATGCTTCTGATTGGTTGGCTTGTGTTATTCTTTATGGTATGTTACTATGGCCAAAAAGTTAGCGAAGAGGTAAGATTAAAAAAAGAACTAGTAGTTTAAGTAGTAGTTTTGTCAAAAGACATGTTTTCTCCTTTAGGCCAGGATAAAAATAGGGTATTACCTCCGAATTCTTGACACCCGCACCGATTGACGTGAAATTTTAACAGTGAATAGAGATATATGTAAGAAACAAAAGTTACAGAGTAGCGATGTGTGTTTTCACCCTGGGGATGAGTGCCACCCCTTCTCGGGGGTAAAAAATAAATCACCCATTTTAATTACAAAAATCAATAAAACGATGAATTCCAAAAAATGTTCTATAACATTTTTTCAGAAAATTAATATTTTCAGAGTTATTTAGGATTGAAAATGTTGATTTTTCATTTAAAAACTGCATATTTTTCTGCAATTTTTTATAAATAACTCAAAACTCTTGCGTTTCGTCGCAAAACTCATATAAAGTAAAAATGAAGCTTTTGGAATAACGAATCAACTCATTTTTTGTCGTTTACCGCAGGTGTAGTAATAGCCGAGTTATCACTCTGTAAACTTGATTCTTTGTTTTTCGAAAACTAAATTGCAACGTTTTACCGTAAAATAATGGCGAAAGGACACATTTTTTTAAGAAAATGAATATGACCGTTTTTAAAGTGCTTGAAAAGATTTTTTAAATGTCCTTTTTTAAAGGCCTTTTCAAGTTCGTAGTTCAAAAACTCGCGGAGTTATGATAAAAATACCATTCATTCACCTCATTCACCTCATTTTTTCGGAAAAAAATTAACAACAAAATCTATGACTAAAATCATAAAAATAAAAACTATCAATTTGTAGGAAAAAAAATTACACGAGCTACAAAATAATCTCTATAGTTGAACAGTCTTGAACTCTTCATTTTCACGAGATTTTTGGGTTTTAAGGGCTCAAAGAAGTGGTCCTTACATGCAAGTCAAACTAAAAAAAGGAATATCTAGGAAATAAAGAGATCTATTATATATTATATATTATTATTATCCCATTATTTTCAACTTTTTTCTAAATTTAGGCATTCTAAACCGCTCGAACTTGCAGAGTCTATTGTTAGTACCTAAATATAGCCAACTGTACAGGGTGGGTCAAATTCGACGCTTTTAAATGGAAACACCCTTTTCTATAGGAGATAGACGAAAACTAATATCGGTGTCTGGAGCTCAATTTTTGTCAAAAGTATGATGGTGAAAACCGCATATCGATATCTGTTACCGTTTCGGAGTTACGGGGTGTTTTTCAAAAATATGCATTTTTAACAAATCACTGTAACTTTTTTGCTATGGAAAATTTTGTATTTTTATGAAAACATTTCCAAAGCACATTTTTACGTAGAATTTAATGGTTTAAGTATAATTTTTTTAAAATTAATAATTTAAGAATTATCAACAGAAAATTTGATTTTTTATATGGGACACCCTGTATATTTTTAATTTATTGAAAAGAATAAAAATTACCTTTCCAAAAATATAATACACTTGATATTTTGCTGGATTCCTCTTCGAGATATAGAATATATAAAAATTCGCCCGCTTTAAGTAAGTAGGCTTTGAACGGCACCGGCTGTAATGCAAAAAAATTCTAGCTGTGAGCATCAACTAAAAGAAAATAATATTTGCTATGAGAGATGCAGAATTTTATAACAATTTAAAATATATTTAACCAACATCAACATATTTAAACTATATCTAATAACAATAAAAATAAATAGCAAACCAAGACATGAGATTTAGCTACAGGTGTTCGACATATTGACCACCGTCTTCTGTTATGGACAGACGGGACAGTTTTTGAACATTTCTCGCGGAATTCAACTCAGTGGGGGTAAAAGATACCCTCTCATAACTGCTAAGTATGTCTAATTCTTGTCTAGATTATACATAAGAATAAGGAACCTTTATTCTTCCGCAAATATATCCATAGGATTAGATCCATGGGCACTAAGTAAGGCGGCCTCGACGGCCAACGGCTGGGATCTTGGTTATCTATTCAATTATTCTTGAAATTGGCTGCAAAAATTTGCTGATAACTTCAGCATTCAGAGGCGGTGCGTCGTCTTGCTGGAAAAATATGTTTTCGAGTTCCATTAAGGGCATATCATCAATAAGGGATCCAAAGCCTACTAGTTAAAAGTGGCGAACTTTAAAAAATTCTGTATTTCGAAAAAAATTATAACAAAATATCAAGTATGCTATATTTTTGGAAAGGTAATTTTAAATTATTTTCAGTTAATTAAAAATATAGAAGGTGTCCCAAATAAAAAATCAATTTTTCTGTTGATAACTCTTAAATTTTTAATTTTAAAAAAATTATACTTAATCCATTAAATTCTACGTAAAAAGGTGCTTTGGAAAAGTTTTCATACAAATACAAAATTTTCCATAGCAAAAAAGTTACAGCGATTTGTTAGAAACGCACATTTTTGAAAAACACCCCGTAACTCCGAAAGATATTGATGTGCGGTTTTCACCACCATGTCTTTGATGAAAATTGAGCTCCAGACACCGATATTAGCTTCCTATAGAAAAGGGTGTTTCCATTTAAAAGCGTCGAATTTGACCCACCCTGTACATGTATTACGCTTAGTTTTTATTTTTATAATTTTAGTCATAGATTTTGTTGTTCATTTTTTTCCGAAATAATGAGGTGACTATATTATTTTTATCATAACTCCGAGAGATTTTGAGCTACGAACTTTTTTAAGACAGCATTTAAAAGCTCTTTTCAAGCACTTTAAAAACGGTTATAGTAATTTTCTTCGAAAAATGTGTCCTTTCGCCATTATTTTACGGTAAAATGTTGCAATTTAGTTTTCGAAAAATAAAAATCACGTTTACAGAATGCTAACTCGGCTATTATTAGACCTACAGTAATCAACAACAATGGATCGTTTAGTTATTCCAAAAGCTTCATTTTTGCTTTATATGAGATTTGCGATAAAATGAAAGGTTTTCAAGTTATTTATAAAAATTGGCAAAAAATATGCAGTTTTTAGATGAAAAATCAACATTTTCAATTTTAAATAACTAGGAAAATATTAATTTTCTGAAAAAACATGTTTTCTTAGAATTCATCCCTTAATTGATTTTTGTAATTAAAATGGGTGATTTATTTTTCACCCCCGAGAAGGGGTGGTACTCACCCCCAAGTTGAAAACACACATCGCTACTCAGTAACTTTTGTTTCTTACATATATCTCTATTCACTGTTAAAATTTCACGTCAATCGGTGCAGGTGTTCAGAATTCGGACCCTAAAACCCTCGCTTACTGGCCTACTTTTTTGGTTAGGAAAGGTAACAAATGAAATCGAAAAAACTGTTTGGATGAAATATTATTTAGAAAATACTTGTGTTATTGTTGTTTCAGTCTATGAATATAGCTGGATCGGTTTACAAAAGTAAATGGTACGAATTCGATATCGATGCAAAGTTGCGAAAAAATATAATTTTGGTAATTGCCAGAGCCCAGAAACCGTTGACATTAAAAGCCAAATATATGGGTACTATTTCTTTAGTGCGATTTGTGAGAGTAAGTACAGAATCATTAATTTCTTAAATCTCGATCCATCTAGTTATTTCCTTATTAACCAAAAGCTCAATTTCATTAAATCATTAAACTAAACAAAAATTAACATTCCATCTCTCAAAAGAGCACATTTGAGTTTTATAGTGAGTTTAGGGAAGTTATTTTGTTGTTTTATTAATTTTTTACTTTTTACTGTTATATTGTTTATTTTTGGCGAGGTTTTATGTCAGTGTCTACATAGTGTTCATTTATTTTTTAATGAAAAATATATATTTTTCCCTTTCAGGTTCTTAGGAGAGCTTACTCATTTTTTACATTATTATTGGCAGTTACCGATAATTAAAAAGGACGAGTTATGTTTATATGCATTAGTCGACACCACACTTAAATCGTTTCTATTCTCAGCAAACCTAATAGGTATATGTTAAGTAGCATGATATAATAAAGATATATCAAATGTAAGCAGTAAAAATTTAGAGAATAAGTATATGTCCAGGTGGAATCTACGCTATCGAAAGATTAAAATCTAACAACTTATCTTAGATAAGCACTATCAGGAACAAGAAATTGCTATCTCATCCGATAATAACACAGGCCGACAAAAAAAATTTTTTTCGATGTAACACAAAGCTCAATAGGATATTGTGGTAGAATGAACCTATCTAATCACGAAAGTGGCAAAAAAAAAGTCGTAACACGTAAGGTTTTTTTGTTACATTAATAAAACATCATTCAATATTACAATATTCAATATATTAAGATAGCTATTCAAAACATGATTTAAGAACTTTAAGCCTATATACCGATTATATTTTATAGTTTACACTCCTCAAACATTACTTATACCTAAAAAGTACAAAAACAATCGAAACGAGATCAAAACATAAACAAAAACTTTTACTTTTTTCCTTTTATGAGGGACCGCGTCTTCTCTTCAAAAACCAACAGTAATCACCCATCATGGCTGGATCCCATCGTCCTTGATAACGAATTTCCATTGTCCTTATGTCTTGATGGAATCTCTCACCTTGCTCATCACTGACAGCACCCATATTTTCAGGGAAAAATGACAAATGAGAATGGAGAAAGTGAATTTTTAAAGACATTCGGGCACCAAGCGATTTATAAGCATCTAAAAGCTCATTAACCAATTGTCTGTAGTTCGCATCCTTTATTGTTTCCCAAAAATCCCCTCACTACACTAACAAATGAGGTCCATGCCTGAGTTCCTGCCTGGTAAGCGTGTCTGTGAAATTTGTGTCGTCCAACAATTTCCTGATTTGTGGTCCAATAAAAATACCCTCTCTTCAATTTGGCATCACTCAACTGGGGAAAGACTTGCCTTAGGTATTTAAATCCATCACCTTCTTTTATTCATAGCTTTCACGAAGTTTTCATGAGGCCAAGTTTGATATGAAGAGGAGGCAGGAGGACGTCTTTGGGGTCTACAAGAGGGATATACTTGACATTTTGGGAACCCGGTTGAAATTCACTTCTTTCTGGCCAAATTTTCTGTACATAATGATGATTTACTGCACGACTGTCCCACAAACAAAGAAAACAGCAATATTTTGTAAATCCTCCCTGAAGTCCCACTAAAATTCCTATAACTTTCAAGTCCCCACATATCTGCCATTTATACCTGTTGTAGTTGATTCTATCTAAAAGCATGCGCATATTTTCATAAGTTTCCTTCATTGTCACTGAATGGGCAACTGGTATAGAGGGTTTTAAATTTCCGTTATGCAATAACACAGCTTTTAGGCTATATTTCGACGAATCTATGAATAAGCGCCACTCACAGGAGAATGTTCTATAGAAAGTTCCTGCATTAAGCCATCGATATCAGTACATGCACACAACGAATCCTCCATACTGTAGAATGCAGAGAACGGAGCATTTCTTTTTCTAAAAAGTGGTGATTTTTGTTTCATTGGCTAACAGATTCCATTCCTTAAGCCGGGATCCAAGAAGTTCTGACTGCTGCTTTGATAACCCCAAGTCACGCACTAAGTCATTCAACTCGCTTTGAACAATCAAATGTGGCTTGTCGGAACCGCCCTCTGGGGTAAAGGTAGGATCAGTACACTGGTCTCCAGAGCTGTTTGATTCAATATCTTCCTTATCTTCCAAAACAATACCTTGCCAGTCTAAGGGCGCGATCGGCACTGGGAGATCTGCACCATGAAGAACAGGTCGTATGGCAGACGGCAAATTGGGATACCTCGATCTTGTGCTTTTGTTTTTTGAAAAACCTTCAGTTTTCGTCAGGCAAAAATAGCAATCGTCAAATGGTTAGTTGGTTCTCGCCATACCATTGGAACCGCAAATGGCATTTTTTTCCTCTTCCCTTTCATCCACTGCACAAGCGACACGCTACAAGTAACGCAGCACACATGAGGAGCCCACTGCTTGTCTTGATCTCCAACCAAAACTCCAAAATACTTGAAGTAGGCTTTCTTCACATTTTCAGAAAATGGTCTGGCTTGTGATTGCACCATAAATTCTCCACAAATGTAACAAAATCGATCAGGAGACACTTTACAACTGCGGCGCGTTTGACTTGACATTTTCGTACCATTTATCTACACGCATAGAACAACTCACGTCGAAAATCAACTGAAAACTGAACTCTCTTATGTTTTTCACAATATATTATAGTGCACAAAATGCGTCCCTTTCAATCATCCCATCATAAAATTTACCTGTATGTAAACGAATCTACCTAGACTTAATACCTGACATCTATAAAATTGACTACCTGCAAAAAAGAGGCGTAATTAGGCAACTGAAAAGTGGTACGTGTAGGAGCTTCAGGAGTATTTTTTCTGTTATTAGAAGCATATTTTTATGAAGAAATTCTGCAACTGACTCGTGTTACAAAAATCATGTCGGCCTGTGTAATCAAGCAACCTTAAAAGCGATCAACTCAGTAACCATCAATGCGAAGATTGTCAAAGAATGCCTAGAGAATCTGAACAAATTAAAAAAATAAAATAAAGTCCTCCTACTCTAGGTGCTAGCCTACCAAGGTATAGGAGATAATGAAAAAACTGGACTAGAATCGTTCTGCTTCCGAAGTGGAAACCAACTTAAAGAGGAACTCAAGAACCTGGAAGTCTCGATCCATTACCTGGAATGGGAATTCTCCAGGTCGGTCAAGTTTGCCCCCCGTATTAGAGGAAATTTAAAAATAAATATATCACTATTTTGCACACATTTTGCACAATTTTGCACACCATAAATGATATTTTGCACACTTACCTAAGAGAAACTAGAACCGTTTTTTAAACGGGGGGCAAACTTGACCGTTCCCCCCCCCATTTGTTACGAAATTGATTTGTTTCTATGTATATCGATTCGGCTAATTTTGCACAATTTTGCACACCTATTTTAGAATTTTGCACACCTTCCTGACGAAAGTTATGAGGTTTTGAAAATTTGCAATTTCCCCCCCATCTGCTATGAAATTGACTTTTGTTTATATCAAACGAATCGGCTAATTTTGCACAATTTTGCACAGCTACTTTCGAATTTTGCACACTCTCCTGACAAAAGTTATAAGGGTTTGAATATTTGAAATTTGTCCCATTGTGTGTGAATTGTCTCATTTAAAAAACATAAGTATGGGTCATATTTGAAAATGACAGATCTCAGTGGACGGTGGAAAACTGTACGGAACCCAGACTTCACCTTTTCGATAAGTTATAGGATAACCGAGATATGAGGGTTGTCGAAAAATGCAAAATTTTCAAATTTGCCAGGTATTTCAGGAAGTAAGAGGGCTAGGACAAATCTGTGTGTAGAATCTTTAGTTTCATAAATGTTCTTCTATAAAAGTTATAAATTATCGAAAAGGTGAAATCTAAGTTCCGTGCAGCTTTTCACGTCACTGAGATCTATCATTTTTCGAAATATGACTCATACTTATGTATTTTTAAGTGGGACATTTCACACATAATGGGACAAATTTCAAATATTCAAACTCTCATAACTTTTGTCAGGAGAGTGTGCAAAATTCTAAAATAGCTGTGCAAAATTGTGCAAAATTAGCCGATTCGTTTGATATACACAAAATTCAATTTCTCGTGACAGATGGGGAAATTGCAAATTTTCAAACCTTCATAACTTTAATCAGGATGGTGTGCAAAATTCAAAAACAGGTGTGCAAAATTGTGCAAAATTAGCTGATTCGTCTGATATACACAAAATTCAATTTCGTGACAGATGGGGAAATTGCAAATTTTCAAACCTTCATAACTTTAATCAGGATGGTGTTCAAAATTCAAAAACAGGTGTGCAAAATTGTGCAAAATTAGCAGATTCGTTTGATATACACAAAATTCAATTTCGTGACAGATGGGGGAATTGCAAATTTTCAAACCTTCATAACTTTAATCAGGATGGTGTGCAAAATTCAAAAACAGGTGTGCAAAATTGTGCAAAATTAGCCGATTCGTTTGATATAAACAAAATTCAATTTAGTCACAGATGGGGGGAAAATTTCAAATTTTCAACCGCTTAGAACTTTCGTCAGGTGGGTGTGCAAAATTGTGCAAAATTAGCTGAATCGATGTACATAGAAATAAATCAATTTCTTAACAAATGGGGGGAACGGTCAAGTTTGCCTCCCGTTTAAAAAACGGCCCTGGTTTCTCTTAAGTAAGTGTGCAAAATATCATTTATGGTGTGCAAAATTGTGCAAAATGTGTGCAAAATAGTGGTATATTTATTTTTAAATTTCCTCTAATACGGGGGGCAAACTTGACTGACCTGAATTCTCCAACGCAACGGTCTAAAGCTTGATTTTCATGCATCCGTTATCCGACGATACGATGATACGATATTAATTTTATTGGTTGAATTTGAAGACTTCGGTTGGTTAGAAACGGTTAACCAATCGAAGCCCTTACATTCAGCCAATAAAATTAATATCGTATCATCGTATCGTCGGACAACGGATGCATGAAAATCAAGCTTAAGTCACTCGAAAAAATTTCTCAGGGCTTATGACCGAGGAAAATCAAAGATTTTCTTTGATTTAAGTAAGAACAATCTTCGGATTGTCGCGGGAATTTTAACAGGACACTGTCTCCTCAACGAACACCCCAGTAGATTCAAGCTAAGAAACGATGGGAAATGCAGATTCTGTGGGGAAAACGGGGAAACACCAGAACATCTACCACTAAGTGTAACAAGACGACAACCAAAATTCACTTTGTAACCGTATAAAATACAACGCGGTACATACTTTATTTCCTGCCATGAAAAAAATAGAAGTTTCTCAAAAAAATTGTGGATTTATTAATTTGTGAAATTTGAATATTAATAAAATTTGCTACGCCCATTGATGGGCATAATTTGTACGTAGCCTCTTTATATT